GGGTTGCCTGGAAGAGATCGCTTGCTGCCCGTTGCATGTTTTTTTTAATATTTTGATTTAATATAGATAAACAAATGAAAGTCAATTGATTCGTTAACAAATTGCAAGTTGTACAAATATTAATAATTTTGAATTAGCTTATAATTTTTTAAGAAGGATTCTTTGAAACTTCCAGTGTGACTTCATGCAGGTATAATATGTATTATGTATGTATTTATATGTATGATTTTGTCCCATTCGGTGTCGAGACCCTTGGTCCGTGTCGTCCTAGCGCTTTAAGGCTTTTTAAAGACATATCAAAAAGGTTAGTCGACATCACAGGAGACCGAAGATCTGGCAGCTACCTCGGACAAAGAAGTCTAGCGATTCAAAGGGGGAACGCTGCCAGTATCTTCGGAACCTTGCCTAAAGGGACTCCTTTTAATAATATATTTTAGTTTATGTTAAGGTTAGTTATTTTTTTTTTCAATGTATATTATTTTAGTTATTATATTTTAAGGTTAGTTACTTTTTTTTCAATGTATATTATTTTAGTTATTATATTGTAAGGTTAGTTACTTTTATTTTCAATGTATATTATTTTAGTTTGTCTTATATTCAGTGTATTTATATTATATTGTTATTTCTAATTTGTAATATATATTTATTACGTTATCAAATAAATATTAATTAACATGTATTTCGTAAATTGATGATATCTACGTATATGTAAACTTCTTCAACTAGCAATTACGCACATTACTTTAGTGATCATTTATGATTACATTAACGGAACGCACACGCAAAACCATAGTACAATAGATGGAGATTAACTTATGTGCCGGAATCTCATAATCATAATTCATCATGGGTGGTCCTTGTCAGTCTGTCGTCACAGCATTACGATCGATTTGTACGCTTTTCTGTTGCGCCCGCGTCGGCTCAACCCTGTAACTTACAACACGGGGAAGATTGGTATTTCGTCACGCATGTGATATACGACCCTATTCTATTTTTTTTTATATTACTCGTGAGAACGTAATTATAAATTCTGCCATGTTAGCGTTAAATAAAAGTCCATTGAATAATATATTTAAGAAATAAAATTATCTTTCTAGGCATTGGAATTCGTATAAAGCCACCCACATCGAGCGTGCATTGTGCGGTTATGGCTAAATTTTGCAAACAATGCCCGCCTGGTGTGGGTTGAGACGACTCAATTAGTACGACACAGACGATAATAGAGCACACAATAGATCGTAAATAGTGAATGCGGTTGAAAACTATGTCTACTTTTAACATTAGATTTGGAACAACATTTATAAAAAGTAGCCGAACTTTTTCGTCCTCTTCCAGATGCTTTATCCAAACAATGATATTACAAAAATCGAAAGTCAACAGTGTAATCAATCATCAACGCGTAATTGTCGGTCGGCTACCGAGAAGAACTGAAAGTTGGTTAATGGAAGGATAGAATGTTTAAATTCCCATATACTTTTGGAGTTTTTTCTCGTTTCGACAAGGTGGTATTGCTTGAATAAACTTAGCCCCAAGCGCGACATCAATAAATTCACTACTCAATCCATGGCATTTCAATGTTTCCATTATACTTAGTTGTACTCGTATATTTAATAAATTAATTCTACTTTATTTTTTAGACTAATATGTACATAGTTTTGTAACAGATCTAAATGTTGATTATATAACAAATGACTCCAAAATATGAAACCATTCCTTGTAAATAAAAATTAATCGCAAAATATGTTGTTAAGCGCATAACTCGAAGACGGCTGGATCAATAAGAGTAATTTTATTAAATTTATTCCTTGAACTCTGAGGAAGGGTTTTATGCAGAGAAAAATTAAAAAAATATAAATAAATAGTTTTATTTAGTTACGTTAGGTATTCCGAAAAGCGAACAGTCCATATGGGGTAGCATAGCAAAATGTTCCATAGGTAATTGTTGGTATGTAGCTACTAAAAAAGTAGTATAAGTTAAAAATCTTATTACGGCGAAACGAAAGTCGCGGGACAGATAAAATGATGGAATATTAAGATTTTCACCATTTGAATCAATATTGTATTTGTGCATGTAATATATGCTGCAATCGTGAATATATTTATCTTGATTTCAAATCTCAGCATTAAATTATTTCTGGGTACCGTGGTACAATGGACACCGACTATCCACTGACAGATTTCGGTCATGGCATATCCATACTTCCGGTGATATTGCACCATCGACATCAATCGTTACAATTATTTACATTAATCCGTCACGCCGTCCGTTGTCCCATCCGTCCCTAATTCCGCGTGAGAATTTCATTCAAGACTAAGTTTTTGTTCGTAATACAGATTCTGATCATCCATCGACACTCTATTTTCTTTGTTTTAAAAGATCGTTATTTATTTGGATGGAACAAACATAATTACGATAATTGAAAACTATAAATTGTGACCCTTTGCTATACAAAACCTGTATCCAATTCTATTTTTAAATTTTGTAAATACTTATTTCCTTAATCCCTAAGATACAGCCATAACCTCTCAAGACTAACAGTACGTACTTATTGCGATTGACTACACTACAACAGTACAAAATGAAGTAGCACAAAAGCAGCTTTACCTACGTTAAATAGGGGATTTAAGTTAATATGCAATTTCACAAAGCTGCCGTTTTTTTACCCCACTCGAAGCTGTCATCAGTTTGTAGAGGCCCCGTTTGCTATAAAAAGCATAAGAGGTGTCGGGCAGTGGTGTTTGTACAGTCATTTATCGACTGCTTGTTACTTCGAGCACCGGGTAAACAACCTTAATTCCTTGTCACGCATACCTTAGCTTCAGACATTTTGCACTGCTACTGTGGTACGCATACTAAATAAATAAATCATAAAATGGTTTGAAGACGCTACAGTATAGGACTTATTACCTATAACAATTATGAAATTTAAAGAGTTCAAATAACTTTAAGAGGTGAACAAACGTATATAATGGTTATATCTGTAGACTACAAGTCCTCTCATTACCTAAATCGAATATTTACAGGGAACCAAACACTGGCTTATATAAGCCTTGGGTAAAATCAACTTTGGCTTATAATAACCATTAAACAAAATAATAATCGACAATGCAATGCACGAATGCAGTCGGTGTATGCACAGGACTCCACAGTAGCTGTAAAGGCTACCTGTTCTACGCATGCGCCACTTTACCCGCTCTACCTGAGCTGTCTAAACAACGCAAACAATTCTTATCATACCATAAAAATACTAAGCCTCAGGTAACATTCGGATCAGAAATATAAACATTCCAACCAATAAAAATATATCAGACTTTAATTTTAATTAAACCTCGAATTTTCAATGTTTAAGCGACCGCAAGTTTATATCGAAGAGCCGATCCATAAATCTTATTAAGAGCGAAAAAAGTAACACGTGTCTGGCCTGTGTTTTAGTGAGACTAATTTCTTTAAATTTGACTTTAATTTTTTTTGTCAATAACAAAAGCAAATACCACCCACGTCGATTGCTCGCGAAGGCTGTATGAGTATCGAGCATCAGTATGAATGGGCTATTGAACTGCATAGTCTATACTTTTAACGTACACGATGTTAAGAACCGATTGTAGAGGCTCCAGTTGAAATGCAATATGAATATCCTCTTCCTGTTGCTTCAACTCGATTAAAAACTCTTACACGTGGAGATACTTCAATATCATCTCACAAAAAACAGAATGTAACCTTGAATTTTAGTGTAACACGTGGAAATCGAAAGCAATAGTATTTTACTACTAACAGCCTGTCACGGTACGTTTACAATTATTTCGGGGAATTCCAAGTAAGACGTCATTATATTTTACTAACTACGACTAAGGGAGTCTCCGTTTTGAAATTCGAGTTATAGAGTATAAAAATGAATTATAAATACTTCGTAGGGAAATAACATTTTGTTCGAGTTACAAAGTCTAAATAATTTGTAAGGGAATGGCAATTTTCGACTTACTGAGGAATTCGACTTAACGAGGTTCGAGTTATAGACATTCTACTGTATATTATATGCTTATGTTACACCTGATAATGTAGCATTTTAATGGTGAATCATTTTTTTAATTGCCAAGTTGGGCGTTTAATCGTTAAAAATACTGAGGGCATAAATAATATTGGTTAGCGATAAACTCTCAACAAATAGGTAATTAAGCGACTCATTTAAATGTTTTCGTAACAAATACAAAGACAATCATCTTATAAATAGTCATAACTTATACATTCTTGTTGATAAGGGAAATGGAATGAACACTTGTTAACGCTTGTCAACCCGCTAATCATTTTCCCTTTATAGCAAGTGAGGCTGAAACAATCCAAACAACTCATCATGACCTACTTGAACTTTAAGACTATCTGTAATTAACTCCTTATTTTGTTGTTATTGTTAAATACAAGAAAATATAACTTACTCGACTATTTATTAATGTAAATATCGTCGATAATATGTAAAAAAAACTCGATTTAAAGGAATATTAGTATCAGTTGGGCCGCATTCGTTCGCAATATTAAATATTAATGTCTGGCTATGACGTGAACGTTAAACATTCGGACGTCATTTAATGTGTTATTGTTTCATTTTCTACTTGTATCGCTTCAGAAATGTTTCATGAAGCTGACAATTTTATTTCAGCATACACAAATACCGATAAGATAATTATTACTCAAATAGATATTAATTTGTTTGAAATACGAGCGCGTCAAGTATTTGCGCTTGGACCTGACAACCTAAAATATGTGTGGGTTTCTCAAAACATACAAAATAAAACCTTCAACGCTTTATTATCGAGCTGTCTTTCAGACATTTTTAATAACGCACCTCATTTTATAATAACCACTTTATTGCATTAGCCAAATTAAATGTGTCTGTCTCAACCGAACGAAGCCAAAATGCTGATTGATAACTACAAACTAATTTATGGGTCACTTACATTTTTTAGAGCTCATTGTACTAAATGACGCGACGATTTCTGTCCATTACTTAGTCTCTCGGTATAAAATATGCCACATCGCATATCTTTGGGTTGTTGCACGTGGGTATTCCTAAATAATAAACAGATAGATAACCGCTTTGTATGTGTTTAGGAGTGGCATTGCGACTTGGGTGGTCTATCGTGGGCCGACGGCTGGCGGACAGAATAAGGCCGAGATTTGTATGATATAAAGCTCGCTCCGGTAAAATTGAAATAGATAGCAAGTATTTATCTCGCGTCGCATCAGATCTAGTGCAACGACGCGCCTGCGTCGCCTCGGGCCACTCTAAGTCGTGGATAACTCCTGCGCCGTTATTATCGCTAAATGACAAAACGTCAGTTTAAGATCCATTTGATTATGAGCCCGTAAAGATTGTATAATGATGGATCCATATCAAATTACTCCTATGTAAGGAAACGTGCCTGGAATGCGTAGAACCGGGAATAATAATATGGAAACCACTTGTTTTATCAATTTTTAGAAATTATAATGCTATAGTCACAGGCACCGAGTTTCTTTTTAAAACACGGAACAATTTAAATAACTATTTGTGTCATATTACCGAAATCTATTTCGGCCGTTTGAAAAATTTCAAAATATTGTTAATTACTGCTAGACTCGCTTTTAACTGACATTTCCTTAATTGCCTTTAGTTTAATAAACCTATAGACCGAACTGGAAGCCTTTAATACAAAGTCTACACCGGTGACCTTCCGAGAAATAGGCAATACGGACAATGTAGTAGGCCACCCGCGAAGGTTGTGTCAGGCAAATTTGTTGAAGCCTCTGACGGCTTTATTTCTCTTTATAATAAAATCTAAGACTTGAATATTAGTCATTCCTTTTAAATATCCCGAGTTTATAAAATCTGACTCTCACTGTAAAATTTATGGCAATATAATTGTGTTTGACAATATTTTTAATTGCTCCTTTATTTATGAATACTACTTTTTGAAGTTATACTTCTTTAGGCGCGTTATGAAAAATTTATGAGAGTGAGTTTTTACGATGCGCGCGCACCGTGACACAAAATTAACAGAATGAAGTTGCCCACGGAAGATGCTACGGCATTGGACATAATTTTAAAACAACATTCGAATAATAATAGAATTAATGTTACACTTAATGTAAGAGAATAATAATAAATATTTATTAATTTAATTTTTCAAATGTAAACTGAACTTTATTGACTATAATGACTCCTTTTCCAGTCTTTGATTATTTAATTGTAATTAATTATTTGCATGCAATCAAAAACTATTTTTAATAATGCCAAAGAAGTATAACTTCTTACGCGCGTACATAAGTACACGCAACCGTTTTTTTTTGAGACTACTTAAATCATTCAAAGAAAAGCAATAAATCGTATAGACAATGTTAAAAAACATTGTAAGTACTACCTATAAATACCACAAACTTAATTTAAATTGCCTCCAGCAACATCCATTCTTTTGAATCAAATAAATCTTTTATTCATTTGTCGTATGTTTTGTCTAAGTACTTTCAAACAGTGTTTGCAGTTGTGCGAACAATGTTGCAAATTGAAATCCATCGCCGAATTAGCACGGTCAACAATGACGCGCGTTTTCGTGACCAGAATGCTAACAAAGCACTCAAGTTAGACATGCCATAAAAACCTCTTTGGCGTACACTGGCTTTATGGTTGGTGACTTCTGAAAAGTTCCTATCGTAACCGAGAACCTAAATGAAAAGAATACCTACAAGTACCCTACATTCATAATCGCACACAAGGATTATTTTTATCATGTAATGATTTCATTAACAATTTTCTAGAATGAAATCTATACTTTTTTCAAAATGACAAATAAGTATTTCATAAACTCTTTACCAAAATCGCGAAATAAGGTGACAAAAGTAAATGTCTGTGTAGACCAGAAGCTAGTTTAATTAAAATTTTTGTAGTTTCTTCTATAAATATGGAGTGTCATTTCTGAACCTAAATCACAGTGGTAAAATCTTATAAGTTGATGAATTTTATGGCGTAAGTTCTTGGACTGCGAAATCATTTTTGGTAATTTTGTCCCAAAGGTGTAAAATAAGGTATAAACGCTTTTGTGGAGTTTATTTTTCGATCATAAAAGCAAGATATATTAAACTGACATTAACTATAAATACTTATAGGTAAAATTTGTATTGTTTTTACGATTCTTTATCCTAAGTGAACTAATACCTACATTCTGTGTATATATATATCCCTCATTAATATTTCCATTCAATACATGAATACAGAATAACAAGTGCCATAAATTGTATATAAGTTTTGACAAGTGCAGACCGTAATTTATCACATCACAATAGAATTCCGCAATATTTTACTCAGTCCCTTCATCAGTCCATACTATTTTATAGTTTTAAAAATATATGTTGTACCATTTGATTCACATTAAGGCTGACAGGCAATCGTTTAATCTTTTCATTGGTATCGAAATGAATCGGGCAAGCGAGCGCGGTGGCCCGGTGACTCACAACTGCAGTTCACCTTTATTGAGAACGACATTCGAACATATTAGATGCAATAAAACATTTTCCCCCGTTTAGACGACCTGTCAATTTTTTTTAATTCTTTGTTATTTGCTCTGTGATGATTGAGCGCCTGTTGTAACGAGAACACATCACGTCCCTTGGGAGGTTACAATTTAAACATTATTATCATGCTTACATGCTAGAATATTAGAAAGCAGCTATGAAAAATTTTACAAATTAAAAAATGATATGGTTTTAAATGGCTTGAATCCATTTTTGGCATCTAAATCAAATTACCTGTTAGCTATAATGTCGCAAACTCGTCGAGCTCGCTCCATATTTTGCGTCGATGATAAAAAGTGAAATGCAAATATTGGCATTGTTTAGACTTAGATGTAAAAGTTATTTTAAAATGTTTATCTATGTCCTGTTGTTGTATTGTGTATTAGGCCGATAAGTCATCTCTTAAAATGGTAGAATCGTCTTATGCTGGGCAATTTCCGTTACATCACCATCGCAGCGCGAACGCAGTCATCAGTACTGATTGATTGCAAGCTTGGCGAAAATGGCGCCGAGTGGCGGTTGTATTGAAATCAATGAGCCTATGCAAAGCGAATTATTGATGACTTTCGCCAAATGCCTTTTACAAAATTTGTACACATTTAAAGTATGCATGTTAATGCATCGCCCATGTCCTTAAGTAGTAAGCTGGGCAATTTATACGAGATCGGTTATTTCACGTTATATTCGAGTAATTGTTTAAAGTGACGGTAAACCGAACAATGGGTTCACACGATGATAGTCCTTTAGTACAGTAAAATTATTTTATTACGGTAAGACTACTTTAATATATACATCACCTATGGCTTGACTGCAACACATACAGTACAAGGCCCTTTGCAACTTCCAATAGCGATTTTAATGAGTTTTTGTTTCGCGCGATCCTAAGGCTGCGGCTTCAGCTAAAGAACTACATCGAAAACAAAAACTTCGGGATCGGTATCGCTATTGCAATTGGAAGTAACAGAGTACGGGCGCTAGTCGGAGGTCGGACCTGAAGATAGAGATGCCGGATTTAACTGAACTTGCCCCAAATGTTCAACGAAGCAGGTGCACAAATATGTCTGCCCGAGCTCTACCGGACTATTTGACGTCCATATTCTGGCTATATTGTTCACAGCGAATGAATATTGTAAATTCTGTAAACTGAATCATTATGTATGCAACTTTATTAGATACCTACTCAGTTTAAAAAACAAGGCAGGACTTACAAGATTAAACAAACAAAAGAATTCAGAGAAGGTTGAGGCCGTACGAACCACGTTGTTTACACGTCGCGGGAGATTCGTTTCAAATCCCGTATAAGTATATTTTACATTTTGTACATATTCTTCAAATAGTATGAACATTCAAAAATTATCTCTCAGAACTGTGCAGAAGAAAATTTTGGATGTTACGGAACATAAAATCTCGGCCTGAAATAATTCAGAAAAGCGTTTCGTTATACGTTAACCGTTCAACGAAACGCTTTACCATTAAATACTACAACTTACTAGTTATTAATCAGTATTTTTTATTCAAGCTGAGACTTCATTTATTTCATAATATATTATACGTATTTAGGTTTTTGTCGTTTACTACCAGCCTGTCGCGTAAAGTCGTTACTTAGCAATAAAATTGCTAATGGTAAAATATTTAAAATCGGTCCAGCGGTCTTTGAGTATATACGTTACAATTATAGTATTCCTATCTACAATTCTGTTATAAAACCCGTGTGGACCTATGGAATACAATTGTGGGGAGCTACATGCGACTCTAACAAAAATAAAATTCAAAGAACACAAAACTACTTCCTTAAACAAATAAGCAACTCGCCTTGGTTCATAAGAAACGCCGAAGTACACCTACATGAACACCTGGGCATACCTACAGTCAAGGAGGAAATAAAAATATACGCTCAGAAGTACAAGACTAGGCTGGGAAATCGTCCTAACCACTTAGCTATTCAACTCACCCTACCGGGGTCTATAAACCGTCTCAAAAGACGAAGAACCCTGGAGCTCAGCAGCATTGATTGAGCTAATATTATTATGGTAGATATTCCTAATGAGGAATATCTCCACCTGCAAATCATCCTACAACTCATCTGCTCATAGTCAGAAGACTGATTGCCCGATGCGCTCCTATAAAAAAAAACTTGAGAGGTGTCAAGGGACACCCGGATGGAACGAAGTTCCTTTCGATTAATTTATGTGTTAATTGATATTATAACAGTATGATAGATTTTCTTGACACCAATCTTATATTTCATCGTCTATCTAATCGTATATTTCATCGGTATCTAAAAGAGGAAGAAGTATGATGTCGTTATCAACAGCGATTAAATAGTAAAATAAATATAAATTAAGTGGCACAATTTATAAGCATACTTCGTATTTCGTGGTTCATCTCCTTGTACATAAGCTGTTTTCGTTGTGATATTAGTTCACAAATTCTTGAATTCGCAGAATTTTATGACATTTTCCTGAAACATTATTTATTTATTATAATGAATATTTTTTAAAGGTATTGTATTTTGCAAGGAAACTAGGAACCCCGCAATTATTATTGTACAGGGGTTCTGGTGTACCTACGTTTACTACGACTAATTTAGTTAAGAGATTCCAAAAATAATTTTCATTTCTTATCGCTACGAAAAAAAAGCCAACATCACGAGGTGTTCCCAGGCGGTCACCCATCCAAGTACTGACCCCGCCCGACGTTGCTTAACTTCGGTGATCGGACGAGAACCGGTGTATTCAACGTGGTATGGACGTTGGCGATAGCTAAATCGAAAATATAAAATAGAACAACTACAGCAAAGTGTCGTTACAACTTTTGGTCTTAATTTATTCCATCTAGCCCCCTTTCGCAACGCGCGATAAGTGATAACTTCGTTCCAACAAGACTAATTTAGTTAAGTGATTCCAAAAATAATTTTCATTTCTTATCCCTACGAAAAAAAAGCCAACATCACGAGGTGTTCCCAGGCGGTCACCCATCCAAGTACTGACCTCGCCCGACGTTGCTTAACTTCGGTGATCGGACGAGAACCGGTGTATTACCGGTGTATTACTAATAGCAAATAGCAAAAAAGTGTCACGATAAGGAACTTCGGTCCAAAAAAAAACAATTATAGTATTATAAACAAACATGGCAACTTTATATGATATAATTATTATAAGTTGATATAGCCTCGACGTCCGTCGTTCCACAGCTGAGCCCTTTTGAGGCAGTTTTTGCCTCGCACCACTGTGGCTACTGAAGTCCTTTTATAAAAAGGCCGGCAAGGCGATGTCACTTAACATCAGCCTCCTGCCCGTTTGCCCATTATGTAAAAAAAATAAAAGGTTAAATAAAACTCCTAATAATCATCTTAAATATCTTGTATTTATTTACATGAGCTAAAATATAAATAAACACTTTGACACCAATTATTTAAAATAAATACATAAGACTCCCAAATTCATTCCGAACTTTCACAATGAAGAATAACTAATTTGTTCCATAATTTAAACCGTCGCACCGGCCCACTATCACATCGAGATAAAAGTTTGTAAAATCTATGTATCTACATTAACAAGGAAATTAAATAACGTTGACTGGGACCTGTAAGAAAAACAATATATTATGTTAGCGGGAACTAAATACACAAAATAAAATCGAGCTATTGTCTATACTCAGATTTTTTATTCCGTAGAATTCTGACAGCTACTATTTTTTGACATGTCAGAGATTACAAACCTTTTTACCGGGCACATTTTTCAATTTCAATACAAGTCTGAACATCTGACTCTATACAAGCATATTATTTGTTAGTGAATGTATCCATTTTATTAAGTGCGGTGCTCCAGATTAAAAGTGGTTTTACGGCGACGTCCCTTTTCATCACAAACAGTAAAAAACGCACAAGTAAAGATAGTATTTTTTTTAAAGGTTTACTAAACCTGGAGCTAAAGAATAAAAAAAAGTAATTAAAGTTAATTCGATATATTGTACGTGATATTGAAATGTTTGTTATTTTTGTATTAAGTAATTGAGTAAGTAAATATTAAGATTTACCTTTTTGTAAGTAAATCATAAAAAATACGTAGAATTTTATTTTATTTCCCTCATATGGGTCAAATTTGTCCCTCTTCGGTGGAGAACGTTTTTTGTAGCAAAATTTATGAAATGTCAGAATTCTACGGAATGAAAAATCAGAGCATAAGCACTTTCTGAAGCCCATAATCTTAAATTGCATTCAATTTCAAGCAAAGCGTCAAGAACTGTCAAAGTACTATTTTTTAGATAAATTGTCATTTATGACAGTGCAAATCAAGATTGACCATAGACACCAGTTTCAATACGTAAGGATGTTATAGATTTAAGATTGCTGCACATGACAGAAAATAAATAAAACAATTTAATTGCTTAATTTAAAATCGAATTACCGATTTTGGTTGACGTTCACAGACAGTTCTACTATCAACCTTTACACATTTTAGAACATCAACACAAGTTATTAAAAATGTACGGAAATAAGTAATTAAACGGAAGTAAAATTATTTGTTGAAATACCATAAATTATTTGGCTTCAACGACAGAAGTCAAACAACAAAAAATGCTAAACAAAGGCAAGTAATTATTATTTGTCCTCATCACTCTAATGCAAATAATTGTAATATTCTATATAGCACATTTCACTTTCGTAATTATTTCAGAACCAATTTACGTACTTCATCTAAGTATATTAAACATTTTAAATAAATAAAAATGGCTAGTCACTACAATTACATTTAAAATCACAGTCCAGTGGAGTATAAATTATTGAACATAAAATAGTTTTATTTATTAATTTTTGTTGAACAAAAGTTAATTCCATCTGTTATATTAATAATTTTAAATACCTGACAGTCGCGTTATTAAAAATCAATAAAAACATTATTAAAAAAATATTAAGCAAAACACTAACCTAACTTAATTCAAATCCGGCGCCTGCTTGTATCGCATATAAAAGCTTTTCAGCTAAAACCTCTTCAGAGTTTGTTTCCGGTATTTTTAAGAGGTTCATACAAGTTGATGAGGAAGGGAGCCGGTCCGAGGAACCAGCTGATTGTATGCAGAACGGTGGTTGTAAGTCCTAAAATTCAAACACCTTTGGTAGAACTTACTCTTCCCGCACAGATTATATAACATATATGTATTATACGTTTATTGAAAATGTATAATCTGTGAGAAAAGAGTATCGTGGTGGGATTTAAGGCGTTAAAATACCTTTTTTATGTTGACAACATTGTTATATTGAGTTTATAGTCCGACAATCATATTGGTACTTAATATGAAAAAAGTAAAAATTATT